GTGGAAGCATCCTGAGATAGTGTAGATTCTAAATTGTTCAAATCATGACCCGTGGGGGTAGGGCGGAGCCACAATAGGGAATCCAAGTTTTACATTGAAATATATAGGAAAAATCTTTAAAAATCTTCTTCTCAAGAACCATTGGGCCAGAAAAGCTGAAACTTATGTGGAAGCATCCTGGAGTAGTGTGGATTATAAATTGTTTAAATCATGACCTCCGGGGATAGGGTGGGGCTATAATAGGGAATCCAAGTTTTACCTTAAAATATGTAAGAAAAATCTTTAAAAATCTTCTTCTCAAGAACCACTGGGCCAGAAAAGCTGAAACTTATGTGGAAGCATCCTTGGATAGTATAGATTCTAAATTGTACAAATCAGGACCCCCGGGGGTAGGGCGGGGCCACAATACAGAATCCAAGTTTTACACTGAAATATATAGGAAAAATCTTTAAAAATCTTCTTTTCAAGAACCACTGGGCCAGAAAAGCTGAAACTTATGTCGAAGCATTGGGGGGGGGGGGGGGGGGGTAGTGTAGATTCTAAATTGTTCAGATCAGGACCCCCGGGGGTAGGGCGGGGCCACACTACAGAATCCAAGTTTTACATTGAAATATATAGGAAAAATCATTAAAAATTTTCTTCTCAAGAAACACGGGGCCAGAAAAGCTGAAACTTATGAGGAAGCATTCTGGGGTAGTGTAGATTCTAAATTGTTCAAATCAGGACCCCTGGGGGTAGGGCGGAGCCACAATAGGGAATCCAAGTTTTACATTGAAATATATAGGAAAAATCTTTAAAAATCTTCTTCTCAAGAACCACTGGACCAGAAAAGTTGAAACTTATGTGGAAGCTTTGGGGGGTAGTGTAGATTCTAAATTGTTCAAATCATGACCCCTTGGGGTAGGGCGGGGCCACAATAGGTATTACAAGGGGGGGGGGATCTGGTATAGAACTGCATGGCCAAAGTTACTCAGGTGAGCGATGTGGCCCCTTGTAAATATACACTGTACTTATATGGCCTACATTAATCTGAGATGCATGGAGGATGCTTCCATTGTGTTTCATTGTACCAGACAAGGTTTCAGATGCTGCAATTTCAGCTAAAGAATGACCAAGTTAATGTTTTTGAAGCAGGTTAAAATTTTAGGAGCAGGTCTCATTTCCAAGTTATTATAAGCCCTATACTGATCAATCTTGAAAGGATGATACATCTAAGGATGCACACTACCAGGCTTGTTTTGGATGCTGAATCTGACCTACATTTTCTCGACGAGTGACTAGATTAAAGTTTATGAAGCATGTTCATTCTAAACTAGTCTAACTAAATGCTATATGTTGACCAAACTTACACGGATGACATATCTAAGGATTTTACACTACCAGACTTCAATGGATGCTGGATCTGAACTACATTTTTTCTTATGAAAGACCAGGTTAATGTTTTTTTGAGCAGGTTCATTCTCATTCTAAAGTTACTATTACTATAAATCCTATTCTGACCAAACTTGTATGGATGATACATCTAAGGATGCACACTACTGGACTTGCTTCAGATGCTGAATTTGACCTATATTTTTCAAATGAGTGAACATGATAAAAAGTTTTTAGGAGCAGTTTCTCTCTAAAGTGTCTAAAAGCCATACATTAACCAACTTTGAATTGAAGAGACATTTATTGATGAACACTACCAGAGTTGCTTTTGATACAGGATTTGACCTACATTTTTCAGATGAGTGAACAGGTTAAAGTTTTTGGAGCAGGTCCATTACCAAGAAACTATAATACCTATATCTGAATTAAACTTACAAGGATGATGCATCAAGGTATAAAAATTCTAAAATTTGATTGAAATGCTGGATTTGACTTACATTTTCTGGATGATTGACTAGATTAGAGATTTTAGATAAGTTCATTCCCAAGTATCCACAAACTCCTTCAGAAAAAAATTACATAATTGTTGCATCTAAGGATGCTCACCACTAGATTATTAGTTAAGTGTGGGAATTTGCCTTTCTTAAAGACAACATTTGTTGAGGTGAGCTCTGTAATCTCTGATTACCTATGTTTTGTGTGTTTCCGCCTATTGTTTTCTTATGGATGCCAGTATAAACTGTGATCAAACAAAGCATTCCCTTCATTACACACATCAATATAGCAAGGTATTTTATATCCTATGGGATAAAAATTCCCAAAATGATACTTCATAGGATTTTAAATCCTAAGAATAGCTAATAATGGGATTTTTAATCCTATTTCTCCAATGATGGGATAAAAAATCCCATGGGAGGAAATATCCCTCACAGATTTTTTTCTCCCATGGGATTTTGGTGGGATTTCAGGTGGGATGAAAAATCCCCCCATTCTCCCATGGGATTTTAAGTTTTGGGAGAAGTTTATAAGAAAACTACAACATTGTAGAAGTTAAGATTGACATGATGAGGTGAGAATAAAAAATCCCACCAAAATCCAGGAAAATTTTTTAATTTTGTCTTTTCGAAAGGGTACCTAAAAGTCCGGACTATGTCGTGTCCGGACTTAAATGTCGCAGTGTTAAATATAACCACAGTGTTCCTCCATAAATACAAGAGTTCTAAGTATAGAATGGAATTTGTCTTGTTCTAAATATAGCTCCCTCGCCGACTGACACGGACTACTTTCATGGTTTCTGACACTCATTTGAGGAAAAGGGTACTCCATTTTGAGATCAAATTACAACTTATTAGTGCAAGGTTCTTCCATTTTCTCAACAAATGGTTGTAGTGTGGACATTAATCTCCACCTTCCATATTTTTTCAGATTTTTAGATCTTCTATTGAAGTCTGCAGTTGCGCAGTTCTGAAGTGCACATCAAAGGCATTTTTTGTGCTTAGTGAGTGCATTTCATATAAAGTTCAACTTGTAAAACCTCATATTTATTGCTTTCTACCCTTTTGGGCAACATTTTTGGTCAGTGTTTGGCAAAAACAAGTCAATTCAAGGAATATTTACTTTCTGTCTCTAACATGAACAAGATGGCCGGACATCCCCCTTAAACTGCTAAACCAGAATGTATTTAACAATTTAAGACATGACATTCTGTCTGTCTTACTACTAATACATGGAATTGTCATTGAACATAATCAACAAAGGGTGTCTGAAATATTTCATCAAACTTTCTACTATTTTACAGCTCTCTGTACTGATTTTCAAAACCTTACTCATGGAAAAACGTGCGATAGTCAAAGTTCCAAAGGCACAATAGTGATAGGACATTTCATCTCATAAAGAACCATGTAGGCTGCTTCTGGATCTGTACCGAAGTTAAACTCCGAAGCGATAGAAGAGGATCTGTTTCCTTTACCTTTCAAGCAAATACAGAAAAACATAGTTTCTGTAATTTATTTGAATAAATTATCTCGATTTCTGGTTAACATTTAATATACCTTGCATGTTTCCTCCCATGATAACTTTAAACCTTTCAACCGTCTAGCAAACTCCATATCCATACGAAGTACTATTCCAAGATTTGTCAAGGGTGTCAAAGCAACTAACTTATTTCACCTATTTACATAATAAATTAAGCATTTATTGCAATTTGTTTGCATAGGCCAGTCACAGACGTATTTCTTTCCAAAATGAGAACAATTATTCAAATTAATAATGATAATAATATTCTTTTTGAATTCTTATATTCAAGTTACTACCACGCAATTTTGTTTTTGCTTCAGTCTCACATGGAACTACTGGTATTTGGCTTTATAATGCCTTCATGTGATTTGGAAAGTCTCGTGAACGCATTTACTGCATGTTCCTCTTGAATACAAGCGAAATCAACCTCCAGTGCGTTTGGATGATCACCCAGACCATCTTTTCCATGAATATGGGAAGCATCTTCATCATAATGTAAAATAGATCTTGTACTTCCCCGGAATACCGGTATCTAGGGGTGAAATTAAAGGCAATGTGATCTATTTTCTAAATTTATCGGGATATGAATTTGAAATAAATATGAAGATAACGAAGAGTAATTAAGCTCAAAAGTCCATTGAAAAATTACAAATTTGGAGCAGAGCAAACACAGACCTCTAAAAACATCAGAGGAGGGATCAGATGCCAATGAGTAGTAAGCATTCCCTTTCTACTGGTTACACCTACTGTGTGCCCCTTGTCATGATCGGGTAAACGGAAAACTCCGCAGACAATTCAGTGTGAAAATACTGGAGTAACAGTTTGTATGAAAAACGTCAGTCAACATTTGACTAAACAATAGATTGCATTTGCCAACAAGGTCATTGAATAGACATTAGGTCTAGCAAAATGTTGACTTTAAACGAGACTATTTATATGCTTGAATCATCAACTTATCTGTCAATAGCTTGCCTCGTTTTATAAATTGCTCGTACGCAGAACATACTCTTGTGCATCGAATCAACTGGGATTATATATATATTGCTACATAAGGGAAGTTGATGATAGAAAAGTAGAAGTCATCATGTTTCTCATAAAGTTTGTTTGACATTCACTTATTCATCCATCTAGTAGTGTACTTCAAACTGATTTTTTTTTCAATCTTAACACTTTAATATATATCATTATCTTGATTAGAAATTGATTACTACTGATTTTACTTACATGTAGAGAGTCACAAATTTTAAGAACACGCAGGGTATTTCTGCAGACGTTATCAATATCTACATTCCCATTGACACAGGATTGTAAAATATAAACCATTTATATGTGAATTCGAGACACAGTCAAAAGACAAAGTAAATGAAATCCCAAGTGTTTCCTTGCTATTTGGGGACATCAAGTATCAAAGATACACGTATATGTTCCTTCCAGAGGAGACCCTTCACAATCAATGCATGTAAGTTTTCATAGATAGAATATACATATGCTTAAATAGTAATACGAATAACCTTAGTTTAGAAATCTTTGTCTTTTGTTGAATAACCTTTTCAAAATTTTATATCAATCTCAACTGTTACATGAACCGGTTTTGCAAAAAACACATTCAAAAATATCATCTTGAAATATTTAATGAACTAATCTTGAAATATTTAATAAACTAGTCCTTTAGCATGAATCTCCACAGAGATAAAGATTTCTCCACATCTGTTTTTTCTACTATTGTAACATTAGGGGACTTTTTCAGTTTGTCTCGCCAATCAGCAACTAACATGCCACGTGTCAAGCTTCCATTTAGTTCCACTGTGGCAAATATGTCCACCGATTCCAGCACAATAGAACTATCAATAGCAACTGCTGTCGCAAATACATCACAGGAAATATAACCGAGCTCTCGGTTTGTTTTCTGTCGGTTAACTGTGCTTTTGGTGATGGCTTGAAGGAAATTCGATTTTCTCGTGTTTAAGTGGAAACATTCCTCGGCCTTTTCCTAAAAGCATCACAAAAATAAAGTCAAATTTTTTCTTGGTTTAAAAATACAAGTCGTTTATCTATAAAAAAGAGAAAAAATTATTTTCGTCTCTGCTTCGATTATGAATTAACGAGCTAATAATAGCGTTCGCAGGAAATCTTTAAACAGAAGCAATTTTAAATTTGTATCAGTAAGTGATTGGTTTACCTCTTGCATGATGAAAAGTTTAATAATATTTAAACCCTTTGGTATCCTTCAGAAACTTGAATAAATAATATTTTGTTTTACCATATGGAGAAGATACTAGTGAAAATATAGTGAATAGTTTACCTAAATATTCTACATTAAACTGCATCTTCAAGAAATTGGTTATAAAAATCACATTTCGAAAAAATAAATCCTACCGTATCAATTTTTAAAACATTACCCATGGATACACATCTTTTAAGCAAAGTTCCCATGAAACAATAGTGATAGGACATTTCATCTCATGAAGAACCATATACGCTGCTTCTGGATCTGTGCCAAAGTTGAACTCCGACGCAATAGAAGAGGATCTGTTTCCTTTACCTTCAATACATATATACATCTAGAATCATTCCTTACGCGTTAAATTTCATTATGTTTTGTTCACCTTTATCTCTGGAAGTGATTCAATGTACCTTGCATGTTTCCTCCCATAATCACTAGGCTCTTCAAACGACTGGAAAAATCAGGATCCATACGCAGTGCTACCCCCAGATTTGTCAGAGGAGCTAATGTAACAAACTTAATTTGACCTGTAACAATAAAGCGAATTCAAGCATATAACCTATCATAAAGAGAAAATCATCCATGTCTTCTTAAATTGTAATGATTTAATTAATTCATTGGGTTTTTTTACCTAAAGTCTTCCTACTTAACGATTTTTTAAATCTATCTAGTCGTCACTGGGACAGTATGAACTCGGTGAAGGTTATTTAGCATTTCATCACTTACTGTACCCTACAGTAACTAAGTGAGTCATAATTTTTTTCCACTATTTATTTCATTGAAAAATGCATTTTTCTAAAATATTACTGTAGTGATATTTGTTGTTCATTTTTATGACTAAACAACCATAAAATGTAAAAAAAAAAAAAAAAAAAAAAAAAAAAAAAAAAAAATTGCAGTTTCAGAATAATTTTATCTGTAGGCATTGCGGTGATATCAGATGTCAAATGCAAAATAAAAAATTTTAAGACTCTAATATGTTAAGAAATCATAGTAATTTGAGGTTAGAATTATTTGTCTTGATGATTTTCATAAATTGTTCTCAATGATTAGTGTACCATTTTGTTTAGCATTTTAAGACAAGAAAAATTGAACAATTCTGCATGATTCAGTGAAAAAATCATGGAAATTAGGCTAAAATTGACCTCAAAACAAGATTTTATAAATTAGTTTTTCAATGAAATATATATCGTGTAGTGTAAAAATGCAATTATGACCCTCTTATGGACATATACTGTTGGACCTCTTATTTTAATATTTCCAAATAAATTAATCCTGCTTGTAATGCGTCATTTGATTGGATAGGAAAAAATAGTTTATGTCATATACTACTAGTAACCTATCCTGCCAACGTCACAATATGACTTACATCAAAAACGTTGTAATTTATAAAGTGTAAACTGCCCCAACCCACGGTATACAATACTACCAAAGTCTTATCTCCTGCATGTGGAGTTTATGTCTTCCAGTTAATTCGATACGCCAGAGCATGTTCTGTGTACGAACAATTTCGAAAACGAGGCAAGCTATTGACAAATAAGTTGATGATACAAGGATATCAACAATTTTGTCTAAAGTCAACATTTCGCAAATTCTATGGTCGATACAATGACCTTGTTAGCAAATACAATCATCGTTAAGTCGAATGTTGACTGGATTTTTATGCAAATTGTTAGCCCAGTATTTTCACATTGAATTGTCTACGGATTTTTCCGTTTTCTTGATCATGACAAGAAGCACACGGCGGGTGTGACCGGTCGACATCGGATGCTTACTCCTCCGTGGCACCTGATCTCACTTTTGGTGTTTTACAGGTCCGTGTTAGACTGCTTCCAATTTGTATTGTTCCAATCAACTTCTGAGCTTAATTACTGTTCATTATTTTCATATTGCAAAAGAATAGCAATATACCTATTTTATATATAGTCTTTTGTGGATTGCCACCCGGCCGGAGTCAACACAATCCCAATACTCGTTACTTTTGATAAGGAAAAGTCAAACTTTCAGCTCAACACAAACTGTATATGTAACAACTACATTTAATTCATTTGTTAAATCGAAATCAATATTTTGAATCAACATTACCATACTTAATGACAAAACAATTAATTTATTCTTCAATTTGATTCTATTTATTCTATTGTAATTGTTATATATAATGAAATTTCAATTTTTTTTCCTTCTTTTAGAAAGACATAAAAATCATGCAATTATTTTCTATATATCACAGCTATAATGAAATAGGACTTTTATAAGAAACCTACCCTTATACAATTTAGTAAGTCGGATCAATGCATTTACAGCATGTTCAGCTTGAATACAAGACATATCAACTTCCGGTGGGTTTGGATGGTCACCCATACCATCTTGTCCATGATAAAAGGAAGCGTCTTCATCGTGGTGTATAATAGGTCTTGTACATCCTCGGAATACTGGTATCTTGGTCGAAACATAAAGTTGCCGAGATTAATACATGGCCTTATATCAATGTCTGTGATGGTACTAGTAGTCAAATACGTCATATTTACTATTCAGTACCTTGACAGTTAATGAACTAGCTTGTAAAAAATATAAATACTTTTATTTATGTTATGTTGGTAGTTTGAAGATAACTTTTACTTACATGTAGAGCTTCACAAATCTTTAGAACACGCAGGGTATTTCTGCAGACGTTATCAATATCCACGTTCCCATTGACACAGGTGATTGCAATGACGTCAATATCGGGTCTGGACACCGCCATCATGATTGCCTGGGCATCGTCCACCCCAGTGTCACAGTCAATTATCATCTTCTGCTTCGCCATTTTTCCTGGGAATAAGCTACCGTTATTATGAAGAACTTGTAAATTACTAATTTTGATCCTTTAACCATGTGAGTAAGGGTTGTCACCGATAAGCCAGATTTTGTTTGTATATAATTATAGACTTAGGCGTGCTTTCAAATACTTGCACTTGTGCAGAGCGTATATAATTCTATAATGTATACATGTACACGAATATACCGATCATTGGATATGATGAGGACAAGCGTGGTTTCATACATTTTAATCCCTTTACCGTAATTCTTCTTTTATGTTGTACAAAATTATATCATCATGCATTGAGCTATAATGGTCCCAAATGAAAAGAAATTGTTTAATTACAATGACTACGTTAATTATATGAACTCTAGTTATGCACCAAAATAACCGCCATACTTTTTTTCAACAGTCAGCACCTCAATGACATGACATGACATTGAACAAATATTTCCAGCGTGATATGCTTTGATCATATGATAATTTTTATCCCAAAGCAAAAGTTTACTACTCTAGCGATATTGGAAATATATTACGTTATGCTATTACAAAAACACTTACAGACTGTAAGTTTGTACAACAGCTACAGTGAAAACCGCACTATATATGGTGAACAAATAATGACATATTTCATGCACATGTATATCGAAGCAGCATTGAAACCCGCCATGAACAGAGCGTGAACAGAACAGAGGTTTGTCTGAAAGATACCTCTGAATGTTTTGTCTAGATTCCATTAAAATTAAAGGGAAATATATATACCCTGGGAGGAGGAGGAATTGATTTTATTTTGCAATGGGAGCATGTAGGCACTCCCCAGCTTAATTGTTTAAAAATATATGTCTACTATGTTTATAGTATAGTAGACATATATTTTTAAAACAATTAAGCTGGGGAGTGCCTATGTGCTCGACCATCTAAGCTATCGGCCATCGGCGATCGAACCCGTCTGACCTCCACATTCCTCCCTAGGTATGTGGCCCTCGAAGACACGTACCAACCTACATGTAGGTTCTTCCCTGGCAAGTGTTTCACCAGTCACTTCCACGAGAGCATGACAAGGCACTAAATGTAATGGGAGAGGAGAAAATGCAGCGGACCAGATCCAGACCCCCTGAATCTCCAGTCAGGTGCTCTACTGAACATTTTCGGAATCTCAGACACCCGACAGTTGACTTCAGACAGCGGACTTTTCACGTAAGGGAACATGTCAAAAAGTGAATAATATAAATAGATTTTGTAGTCTTGATTTATGTACTCGATAATCACATTTCGTTCTTATTTGTATGATTAACACTACTCTTCATTGTACAAGTGTATACATGCACTTGGTATTGAGGTAGAAGAGGTCTCCACCAACTTTTCCTAAAATAATGATTTGCTCCCTTTCCCGAGAGATTATTTGATTGTTTTATTCCAGTGGCATCATTTTCCCAACAACATATAGAAAGCAGGAACCTCTAAGATCTAAGAGAATGTAAAGGACTTGCATCTTGATATAGATACCTTAATGAGCGCATGATCTTTAAATAAGAAAAAAATCTGTCAAAGTAAGTTATGGCGTCACTGTAAAATATATAATATAATAAATTTTGTTTAAGGAATTGTTTGTGGACATACAACATTTCATTTAAAGAAAAAAGTACTTTCTCTGGAAATAATAATATTGGACAATAACATATTATCAGTGTCTTGAACGTGAATAACATCACATACAGCTTATTTCGTACTCCACATATCATATTTTAAAGGGGGGGGGGGGGGGGACACAAGCACTGGGCTTTGACATATAACTACTGATTTTAAAACTTTAATTCAAAACATGTTACACCTAAGAAAATAACGACTGAACAATTACATCCTCGTTGGAATAGCCGGGAAAAGTGTGATGTAAATTAGTCAGGATTCCTATGTGGGATCTGAGGCCACCTGCTTGAGGTTTACAATGGGTACAGGGAAAATTTGAATTTGAAGCCTTGCTGGGGGTCCAAGAAGTTTATTCATTCTTGGATTTTGAAAGACAGACTTTTTAATATAAACGTATAAACATTATTGCATCGATGCATTGTAATAAAGAATTTGTAACTACATCATGGCCATGATAAAAATACAATTTAAATTATCGAGGTAGTAACATGAAACTTTTCATTCAATATAAATGTACATGTATATATACAAGAATTCATGTTCAACCAAGAAATGGTTTAATTTTAAAAGATGCTAAACATAATTCAGTATTTTTGCACGTACAAGTGTTATCTATATCAAGTATTTTATCTTTTAAAAATGGAGAGGGAATCTTTCTTAATTGTTTACTTTCATTAAATTTTGAGTTTTTAAAATCGCTCAATAAAGTCAGCTTAGCTATGTACTTTTGGATTTTTCAAATCAAATTTTGCAAATTTTAATTCCTCATTCTGACTTTTTTTCAAAATTATTTTCTTTTTTTCATATCCGATTTATTGTAAAAAAAAAAAAAAAAGAAAAAGAAAGAAAAAAAATTCATTAGTTTCTATTTTAACGTGACCGTCGAGAGAAATCGAAAATTTTGAATGTCTTCATTGTGCTGAAGAAGATAAATCAAATATGAAGTTTTATTATTGTCTGTTGCGTCTTAAATTCCAATAACATGTATACAGTCACAACTCTTTTTTTTTTTACCCTTTCTTATATTTTTTTCTTGTCAATCCTCATTTATTATTTTTTTATTTCTTCCAAAATCAAAGGGAGGGGGTTGCATTTCCCGTTACCCATCTGAATCCGCCATTGCATATGATGTAAAGATACACATATCTATTTAAAGCTATATATATGGCGTAACTGAACTAAAATTAAAAATACGTGATTGAGTGTAAATAAACATGATATATGTTGTTTACGTTCAAATTAAGATTTTTACTGATTTTGAACTTGAACCTCATGTTTCTATAGTCAAATTGATTTTAAACTGTGTGTTGATTAAATGCGGAGTCGGTAAATAATGTAAAATTTCCACTTACAGCTAAATTATAAGCTGTACTTGGTTGCAAATACAACGTAGAAATCGATCATTGGAGGGAAGGGGGGTATTTTTGTCACATCGTTGGAAAATTATATTTTTATGATTTTGACATAATATCATGAGGTAAACGGCATTTAAAGGGTGTAATATTACTTAAAATGTTTTTATACAGATATAAATATAAACAATAAAATGTCTTCCTTGTTTGTTACTACTAGAATAAACGTCGCAGATATTGCAGAAAAAATTTACATAACCCGCATAAGCGGGTTATGTATTTTTTCTGCAACATCTGCGACATTAATTCCCGTACTAACAACCGAAGAAAGCATTTTATTGTTTGAATTGTACGAAGAATCCAAGGCCGTAACTACCATTGAGGCAAGTGAGACATTGAGGCAATTCAGAGTTTTCTGAAAAGTGAAAAAGTTTTACTTTGAACTTTTATTAATTATGTGTGTCTTTGTACTAAGTTAATACTTTCAACTGCAGTTTCAATTTCCGTGAATCGCGGATCGATCATCTCACTGGTGCTACATAATACATAACGTTTAGAAAGCATATATGTAAGAAATAATTCAAAACGTGAAAACTTTCAAAGATTAAATTTTAATTTGGTAAAACCCAGGTTTTGGGAACTCTCCCCTCCCCCGAGAATCCTTAGGACACTACCCTGAGACTCTCGGGTGGCCCCCAGATCCATTGCCTCACTAAAGATTTGAGCCTAGTTACGGCCTCGGAATCTATGATCAATCTTCTTATTTAGAACAACCGGTTAAGGATGCCAATTTTTCGTTTCACATGACCTATTTTAAAAAACATAGTAGATGGAGTTCGATCACTTTAAGCATTAAAATTGCAAATATCTGCTCACAGACTACGCTCTGCAAAAAGCTCTGAATACCCTGTCAAAGCATGCCAAGAAAAAGTACGCATTCTAGTTTTAGAGCGAACTCAATAAAAGCGGAATTAGCGTTAATCTGTGATTTTTCCCCAGGGAGACGTGCGCGAGGCAATTAATGTCAGCAGTTTTGAGGGAAGGATCTTAAGTTTTACTGGTTTTAAATTAAAGCTAGAATACTTATTATTTAGAAGCCTTTGCACCTTTTTCCCGTCTTTTTTTTATTGAAGGGGGGGGGGGTGGGATTTTCCATGCAAATCATATGCGGTTAAAAAAGTAAAATAGAAGAAAAAGAAAGTGAAATAGATTGTAGTAAACTAATTAATTGTTCAGTAGAAATTAGACGCCTTTCAAATCTTTCGGTGTTTCCATATCAAAATAGTTTTTTCCTAGTGTAAATTAACATCGGGCACGATGAACTTGGTTGTTGTGGAAGTCTCGCGCCTTATTAAGGTATCATACCGCTAATTGACCAATGAAAATGAACTTAGTTCCATACATATAAAATAATTATTTTTTCCTTTTGAATTTTTTTTTATTTCCTTCCAGTCTATTTTTACAATTTTGGTACCTGTGTCTAGCGCATTTTACATATTTTGTAAACAATTAAAGGTTTTTGACAGGAACTATTTTTTTCAGGGCATAGGAGGCTACTTCCTGGGGTAGAAGTTTATTTTTCTTTTACTAAGAAAACGGAAAACTTAGGATCCACCCCCTCAAATCTGCTGCCGTTAATTGTCTCGCCAGCGTTAAGGGAATATGGGTGATTTGCATCAATTACGCTTTTATTGACTGTATCGCTGTGGAAAAATGGACGGGATTTCTTGGCATGAAAACTCTTACAGAGACACCTCATCTTGTACTACAGCTGTTCATTTTTTTCTTCTTTTCACAGTTCATACAGACATGTGCTCTGAACATCATTGCTGCATAGGATTGTTGCTCATCCTACTTTTTGAGCAGCTTTAGCAGTTGGAACTGACATACTTCCTAATACAAATATCACCCTCTGGTTTTCACCAAAGTGACTGTTTGATAGTTATTGATAAGTTTAAGATTTAATCTTTTAATGCAACGGTGTACCATTGCATGGCATTCTCTTTCTTGCGTCACCCTTTAAACAGGAAAATGCAGTGGCGGATCCAGGAATTTCATAACGATAACGGGGGGGGGGGGGGCAGTAGTATAATTTCATCAATTTATGTACTAAACTGGATTAAACCGAAGGTAAATTCTTGTTATACAAATAAAATCCCCCCCCCCCAAAATCAAACGGGGGGGGGGGGGGGGGGAGGGAGGGGGACGATAGATCCGCCTTTGATTTAATACTAATTATACTAATTATGTTCTTAATAGTCAGGACTATTTTTTTTTAACAAAGCAGAACTGTCAAAAATTCAATTTACGGCTTGTGACGGTATGTCTTGTCGTTCTGTACACATTGTCGTTGTGCGACAATATACACATACCTTCAATGCACATGTTTATCGGCACATGTTGTCGGCTGCAAAATGATACATGTAGAAAATATGTTATATAATTATAAATAATTAAAGACTGAATCACAAATAAACACTTTTATTTTGAACACATTTTCCTGGAACTTGGCAGGATAATTCTTTATTTCCCCAAGACTTTTCCCTTTCACTGTCTCTATAAGTGATGTATGACAACATGAATAAAAAATATACCAACGTCAGACATATGGATATGAACCTTACAAAAAACAAATATCATTTAAATATTTCCTCCTAGAATTAAGTATCTGTTTTTAATTTTTTTGTGGGTGGATCATCTTGTTCTCTCTCTAGCATGGGTGGCTCTGAATCTGAAATTAAAAAAAAAAAAATAAACTTCAATGTTGAAAGTTAATTCAGTAAATGTGGCTAATATCTTGTAATGACTAAGAAGCTCATTAGCTATCCTAAATACCATTTGTATCCTCTGAAATCTTCTTTCTATCATCTTTGATCATTCTCATAGCTGGAAATACATAAAAAAAAAATACTTTAAGTCATTTGATTTTTGAAATAGAGAACTATAATTATGCACACACAGAAAAATATACAGTTGAACCTCATTTCTCAAACTCAATGGGACCAAGAAAAAACTTTGAGATATCAAAGGGTTCGAGATATAGAGGGTATAATGCTTAAGAAATATGTGGTTAGGACTTCCCAATCACTTCGACATATCCATGGTATTTGAGATTTCCGTGTTGGAGAGACCCATGTTCAACTGTATTTATAATTTCATCTTAATTTTTGTGTTACTTCACAATTTACAGTCATAACATTCATGATGGGTAGAATCATGGGTAGGTCTGTATTACTTGTGTCATATATCAGTAGCAACATCACGCATATATTGTATAAATCACAGAGGATTACTTATATGAACATAATGCCTGCTGCCTTATCTTCTATTGATTTTAACTTTAGTTTAATAAAAATGCTGTTAGAACAAACTAGAGCCACTGATAAGGTCTACATGAATAATATTAGGCTATTAATTCTGAAATTCATTTATGGACCTAAAATATTCTGTAATAAGCACATGAAATTAAACTAGAAATATGTCCATAGGACATGAATGCCCCGCCGAGGGTATATTAGTAATGCAACATTTTAACGCAAATTGAGAAAAGTGAGGTCAAGGTCAAAGGAAAGGTAAAGGTCAAAAAACATTGATGCAGTTGAATAGCTCTCATCGGTATGTATCAGCATATGAAGTTTGACACTAATTTAAGAAAAGTGAGGTCAAGGTCAGAGGAAAGGTCTAGGTCAAAAAATGTTGATGCAGTTGAAAAGGTTACATCAGTATGTATAAGCATATGAAGTTTGATGAAAATATTATGAATGGTTTCTTTAAAAATGAGCTAAACACTAATTTAAGAAAAGTGAGGCCAAGGTCAAAGAAAAGGTCAAGGTCAAAATATATTGATGCAGTTGAATAGCTCTTATCGGTATGCATCAGCATATGAAGTTTGACACTAATTTAAGAAAAGTGAGGTCAAGGTCAGAGGAAAGGTCAAGGTCAAAAAATGTTGATGCAGTTGAAAAGGTTACATCAGTATGTATCAGGATATGAAGTTTGTTAAAAATATCTTGAATGGTTTCATTAAAACTGAGCTTAACACTAATTTAAGGAAAGTGAGGTCAAGGTCAAAAGAAAGGTCAAGGTCAAAAAAATGTTGATGCAATTGAATAGCATACATCAGTATGTATCAACATATGAAGTTTGATTACACTATCTTGAATGGTATATTTAAAACTGAGCTAAACACCAATTTAAGAAAAGTGAGGCCAAGGTCAAAGAAAAGGTCAAGGTCAAAAAACATTGATGCAGTTGAATAGCTCTCATCGGTATGTATCAGCATATGAAGTTTGACACTAATTTAAGAAAAGTGAGGTCAAGGTCAGAGGAAAGGTCAAGGTCAAAAAATGTTGATGCAGTTGAAAAGGTTACATCAGTATGTATCAGGATATGAAGTTTGTTAAAAATATCTTGAATGGTTTCATTAAAACTGAGCTTAACACTAATTTAAGGAAAGTGAGGTCAAGGTCAAAAGAAAGGTCAAGGTCAAAAAAATGTTGATGCAATTGAATAGCATACATCAGTATGTATCAACATATGAAGTTTGATTACACTATCTTGAATGGTATATTTAAAACTGAGCTAAACACCAATTTAAGAAAAGTGAGGTCAAGGTCAAAAGTAAGGTCAAGGTCAAAAAATGTTGATGCAGTTGAATAGCTTACATCAGTATGTATCAACATATGAAGTTTGATTACACTTTCTTGAATGGTATCTTTAAAACTGAGCTAAACACTGATTTAAGAAAAGTGAGGTCAAGGTCAAAAGAAAGGTCAAGGTCAAAAAATGTTGATGCAGTTGAATAGCTTACATCAGTAGGTATCAACATATGAAGTTTCATTACACTATCTTGAATGGTATCTTTAAAACTGAGCTAAACACTAATTTAAGAAAAGTGAGGTCAAGGTCAAAGGAAAGGTCAAGGTCAAAAAATGTTGATGCAGTTGCATAGCCCTCATCAATATCTATCAGCATATGAAGTTTGATAAAAATGTCTTGGATAGTTTCTTTGAAACTGAGCTTTGAACAGAGCTAAACGCAAAGTGTGACGGAAGGACAGACGGAAGGACGGAAGACGGACATGACAAACACTATATGCCCCGGCCATATTCATGGCGGGGCATAAAAATCACTGAAATAAAAAAAAAATATTCACATTTTTATAAATAATATTACAGCTCATCACGGTTAGCTTTCATGCATCTATTTGTGTTCTTTGGCTAATTTTTTCAAATTAATTTGCAAGCTCATACTGAACGTATAAACCATACCGTCACAATTACATTTAGCTGATTTGTTACATAGACTCTACTGTAAGACTTACCAATCCTCATGTCAGTTTGATTGCTGTCTGTGTCCTGTGACTGGGAGAATCCTGTGTTACTGTTGTCAGGAAATGACTGGTAGGAATCTTCATTCATATTGCTCACTTGATCACTGCAGAGAGAGTCTGGTTGAGACTGCTGTGTGTTTTCGTCAGTGTAAACTTGCTGGGCTATAAATGAATCAGAAGGACATGGTAATGGGTTTCATCTGCTAGCAACATCTAAATATTGAGCATAAATATTTGAAAGCAAATGGTAATAATAATTCATTTATGAATGGGTGGTCCTGTTACTGTATTCATAATAATATTACTTCAAAGACAGACATTACCTAGTTGATAATGCAATCAAATAATTAAAGTTACCGTAAAAACTAAAAAATAAATCAAATAAACAAAAAGGACAAAGTCTAAATACTCACAAGAACTGTTTTCATTCACATTGACTTTGCTAATATCACTTCCCTGAGATGCCTCGGTGTCATGTCCAGATCGTGTTTTCTTTTTTATGTTTGATCTTACTTTCAAACTTTTCCTTACAGCATTAGGCTGCAAAGGGGAAAAAACAGATATTTAGCATATAATTTAACTGGCTTCAATAGCCTACTAAAAAGTATGAAGCAATAAAAATGAATTTCAGAAGCTTTTGTTTTATTTCTTTCCTTTCCTTTTTATTTTTTTATTAAAAATAACTTGTAAGAATATCTGTTTTTCATAATTATATATTTCCTCATTGTTGATTTTGAAACTTACAGGTAATGGTTCTGATGCAGAAACTGAAAAAAAGAAATCAATAATATAAAAAGAATTCTAGCAATAAAGAATATACTGAATATAACCCCTATGGATTGCAATGCTCAACTGAAACAAAACATTATCAGATTAAAAATCTGAAACATATCCATTCCATTCCCTAATTCAATTCATTTCAACAACATACATGTATATACTAGTGAAAGAGATATACAAAATAAAAACTTTTGATTAACTACGACTGGGTTTAAAGGGACAAATAGTATACCTGGAACCCATTTATATATTCTCATTGTTGTGTCTCCAATTGTAACCCATCTTTTCTCCCTGTAAAATCACATAAAAATAAATCGTGCAATTTTATCATACACAGGTGTTTCTCTCAAAACTAAACACATGCCTCGTGGTTTATTAGTATATAGACAAAATAGTCCACATTTATTGACGATTTCTAAACATTTGATTTTTAAAAATACATCCAAATTGAAATCAGGAAATATTTTAATAGCATTGAAAAGTAATGAGGTTACGGATGAGGATCACAGGTACCGTTGACGTCATGGTTAGATCAAGAAAAAAAGTTTCATCTTACCATTTCCTGACTTTATCTATTGCAGTTATTACTCTTTTTATATCTTCTTTGGCCCTGCTACGGGTTTCTGCTCTCACGGACCTTGATAACATTTCTACTAAACCTGAAAATCAGCCGAACTTGCCCGAAGTGGGTAAACAAAGCAAGCAAAGAAAGCAAAAAAAAAATAGCCGGAAGTGTATTACAGCTCGTAAAAACAGAACCTAAAACGTCTACATGCAAACATCCCGGTGAAACATGTCATTGTTCCTAAGCTGACCGTTGTCACATGATATTTGGTCCGCCTCGTTTAAAGGTCCGGGGGGACCTAATACGATAACATATAAGGTCCGCCTTTTATAAGAAAAGGTCCGGCCCGTATAAGAAAAGGTCCGCCTAAGTTTAAAGGTCCGGGTGGTGCAAAATGTTTTAATCTTGACTTAAACACATAAAATTGAAGAGAGTTTGTTTACATCATATGAAGAAAGATTAAGGTTTTAGCCTAGCTGTTGTGTTTATTTTTTTTTTTTTGTACAATATATGGCAGGAATTGCTACTCCATGTTTAGTGTGCTTTTAGCAATATCGTTTAGGGCAATGATTTAAAAAAAAAATGTCGCATTTATTGGGCTTGTGTTTGTTTTTCCCCAGCATTTGCTTTGTGTAAATTAGGACGATTAAAGGTGTGAAATCTGCCGGTGTGTATAGGCAATAAAACAATGGGGGTGTGAAGTATTCGTATACCTGACAGGTACCCGCAGGTAGAGCCCGCGGCAGAAAGCAATGACAATGTAATGGTCATGTGTTTGCTTTAAATCAATAGATATGAATTTTCTATTTTAATAAATTATGCTGAAGAACAAATTATAATACTATTATGATATTCATGCGTAACATCAAAATTGTGATACATGTATATATAATTATATATAGTCTAGTTTATTACAATATTTAAAGAAATTTCTTATTCCAAGTGTAGAGTTTAATACTAAGACCAATAAGAAATAAAAGTATGTATATGCTTCCCTTTAGTTTTAACAATTAACTTGTTTTCAGTTTATAATAATATTTTGCCCTTTATTTGTGGATAGGGTAATATATAGCCTAATGTTGTATTCGATCTATATTTACTGCAGAAACAAAATACATGTAATGTTAAAGCTTAAAACAGGTAACTCAATGTTGAAAACATACATCAGATTTAAAGTATAATCATGGTTTGGATTTAATCCTTTCTTATAAAAATATCACTCTTCCTCGTCATAATGAACTACATATGAAATTAATGTTTCATTTTTTTTTTTTTTTTGCCAAAAGAAAAGGAAAGAAAAAGAACTTACACATTTTACTGTGACTATAGCATGACTGTGGGATAATCTAGCAGGCTGTATTGCATGACCGATTAAAATTTGAAATCATTATTGTAAAATATTTTCTTTTATTACCGACATGAAGCATTTTGTGCAAAGTTGAATGTCCAGTTCTATGTACAAGTCATTTATGTATCTCACGTCTGTATGAACTTGGGAAGGGGGAGGGAACATCAGTTGATCCTCTGCCTTTTTTTGCGTATCAAGGAATTTCTATTTTCTACATTAATTTGTGCAATAACACCCCCCCCCCCCCGAAATGCACCCAGAAATATACTGACCGACTGTTTCTGGGGACGTTGTCAAGCGTGCGTAATATTTCCCATTTCAAGCTACATGATATGTACATTTTCGTGATGTCGACTAGAAGCGTTTCAGACTAATTTTAAATCAAAAATATATTTTTTTTTTATAAAACGCTGAATATTTATGATTATTTATTTTATTCATTTATGGAAAGTGGCAACTCACGGTTATCCGGAGAAAAAAGGTAATTCATGTGGTTTTCCATCATGAGAGTCCAAGCTGCAGACAGCTCAGTATTACGTTACGCTACAACTCCATACCAAGTAGTCCCGGAGAATTGACACTGTATGGAGTATGACTGAGAGTCATACTCCATACTCCCCGGGACTTCTTTCCCTACGAATAATGATATGGAGTAACACTGAGCTGCCTGGATCTTGATTGAGAGTGATCTCCCGTGTAGAATTTTCTACGCGGTGAAAACCAATAAAGTGTATTGTTTAGTACCACTACACCTGCTCAAGAGTTTTTGAAAAATTCTTTACGAAAGCTAGGAACTTTGCCAATGTCCTTAAATTATCCTTTTCGAAGTCATCAGTCATTCTCCGTGGTAACCATGGAAGAAATAATACAATCGGTCTCATGTAGTTATGACAGAATTTTTGAAGTTCGATTTTCATAAATGCTATACATTGCACATATCACCGAACAATTTTGAATAATGATTATACAGGCGCGGATCAAGAATTTTTCCAGGGGGGGGGGGGGGGGGTTCCATCCCAGTCAAAAAAATTTCTAACCCAAAAATTTCTTGACAAGGAAGGAAAAAAAACCGTAAAATCCAATTCCATTTCCAAAACGTGAAAAACACCTATTTGGTGGTGGTGATGGTAGGGTCCATGTTTTCTAAGGGGGTCCAAAGTCATTTTTTATTTACTTCAGTATATACTTTTAATAACTCTGCAAATTCCAGATGGGGGGGGGGGCTCCCCCGACTCCCCCCCCCCCCCCCCAGATCCGCGCATGTTATATGAATAATTTCGGTATTGGCTGGAGAAATTTCCGGTAATACATTGCATCTCAGGTGAAGAAGAGGGGGAGGGGTGGCAATAACATCTTCTTTATATTTCCATCTGCTCCTTGCGTATCAAGTACGTAGGAAATAAACACCATCTGGTGTATATTACAGATTTCTTTTTACTTGTCACACAGGGCATTTACCACATACATTATGTACGTAGTGTTGATGAACCCCTTTCTTATTTTTAAGGTGATTATTTTCCCAATTCATTGTTTGAATACAGAAACAAATACTCCCTCTTTTTCATGCTATATGAATCAAAGTCTATAGATACGGATACAGTACATTTAATGATCATTCTAACATTTTTGTGAGATACAAGGATTATAAATCTGAACATATCTTTTGATTGTATGTGGTGAATATATTCTAGATAAATATACATTGTACTACCATTATACATTCAGATTCGTCACTGCCTTTTATAAAAGAATCGTCCTACGATTTTCCAAGACCTTGACATAAAATAAGAGGCCCATGGGCCACAACGCTCACCTGTGTCAATAAGGCCCTGCTGTTTTTCATCAGCAAATTTATTCTAACATATCTTCCAATGTAAAACATTAATCCCTATTGTGACCCCACCCTACCCCAGGTGTCATGATTTTTACAGATATAGCGCTAGCCCCACCCTACCCCTCGGGGTCATGATTTAAACAAACTTGAATTTACACTACCTCAAGATACTTCTATATCAATGTGACTAAACATGGCTTTGTTGTTCCTGAAAAAAAGGTTTTAGATTTTTTTTCCCTATACATTCACATGCTAAACCCTGATAGTGCATTGTGGCCCATCCTACCCCTAGGGGGTCATGGTTTGATTGATTGATTGATTAGGGTTTAACGCCCGAGTCGGCTATATTTCAGCCATATTCCGGCGGAAAATTAATTTTATATGACCGGTTATCATGGTTTAAACAAATTTGAATCTACAATACCTGAGGATGTTTCCATATCAATCTGACTAAAGATGGCTTTGCTGTTCTTGTGGAGAAGATATTTCGATATATATATCCCATGTAAAACTTTGATCCCCCATTGTGACCCCACCCTACTCCGGGGGTCATGATTTGAACAAACGTACATCTACACTAACTGATGATGCTTCCATATTAATATGACTAATCATGACATTGTTGTTCTTAAGAAGAAGATTTTTGAAGACTTTTTCCTAGATATTCCTATGTAAAACCTCAATCCCCCGTTTTGATCTATCTATTACAAAGAGAAAATTATAGACAAGGTTCTTCTCTGTAGCATGAAAAATAGAGAAAGGGGCAGGGCGGACCTTAAAACGCAGTATAATAAAAGCTCCGCCTTCTGTATTTCAGATATCGTACTATTACAAGGCGAAAACTTTGAACAGGTTTATTTTCGTAGCATAAAAACTAGAGAAAGAGGCAGGGCGGACCTTAAAACGCAGTAAAATAAAAGGTCCGCCCTCTGCTTTTCAGATATTTTACCATTAGAAAGCAAACATTTTGGACAGGGTTTATTTCCGTAAAATAAAAACTAGTCAAAATGGCAGGGCGGACCTTAAAACGCAGTATATTTAAAGGTCTGCCCTCTATAATTCAGAAGTCTTACTGTTAGAAAGCAAACATTTTGGACAGGGTTTATTTCCGTAACATAAAAACTAGTCAAAATGGCAGGGCGGACCTTAAAACGCAGTATAATAAAAGGTCCGCCCTCTGTTTTTCAGATATCGTACTATTACAAGGCGAAATTTTGAACAGGGTTTATTTTCGTAGCATACAAACTAGAGAAAGAGACAGGGCGGACCTTAAAACGCAGTATATTTAAAGGTCCACCCTCTATAATTCAGAAGTCTTACTGTTAGAAAGCAAACATTTTGGACAGGGTTTATTTCCGTAACATAAAAACTAGTCAAAATGGCAGGGCGGACCTTAAAACGCAGTATAATAAAAGGTCTGCCCTCTGTTTTTCAGATATCGTACTATTACAAGGCGAAAATTTTGAACAGGGTTTATTTTCGTAGCATACAAACTAGAGAAAGAGGCAGGGCGGACCTTAAAACGCAGTATATTTAAAGGTCCACCCTCTATAATTCAGATGTCTTACTGTTAGAAAGCAAACATTTTGGACAGGGTTTATTTCCGTAACATAAAAACAAGTCAAAATGACAGGACGGACCTTAAAACGCAGTATAATAAAAGGTCCGCCCTCTATATTTCAGATATCGTACTATTACAAGGCGAAAATTTTGAACAGGGTTCATTTTCGTAGCGTACAAACTAGAGAAAGAGACAGGGCGGACCTTAAAACGCAGTATAATAAAAGGTCCGCCCTCTGTATTTCAGATATCTTACTATTACAAGGTTAAAATTTTGAACAGGGTTTATTTTCGTAGCATAAAACTAAAGAAAGAGGCAGGGCGGACCTTAAAACGCAGTATATTTAAA